GTTCATTTTACGAGCGTTTGTTCAGTCATCCAATCATTTATGGGGTTAAATCGATGTTCCTTTTTGACTGCAATGTTAGGAAACTTTAAAGAAGCAGGATGGAAAATATTTTTTTGTAACAAAATAATAGTTACCAGCAGGGGCGGACTGACAACTCATGGTGCCCCCGGGCAATAGGGGATCATGGGGCTCCTGTGTTCTTGCCCAAACTCAAAAAAAGCCTATGAAAAAAGGTACCAGGGGCATCTCATGGGGCCCCCTACTGACCCCGGGCCCTCGGGCAGTGCCCGAGTTTCCAAATGGTCAGTCCGCCCCTGGTTACCAGTGTATGTGGTTTTTGTTCAGAAAATTACACCTGCAACATCAAATGATAAAAGAAAATGAAATTTTGAAGCACTTTTTGATGACATTCATCAAGTCAGGAATGTACTGAGAATGTTCATGCAATTATTTAATCTATACTGTGGTGCAAAGTATAATATGTTACTGCTGCCCACTGAATTTTGAATGGGCCCCAACACAGCAAGAATCATGCCTGTAATATCTTTTTTTTACCATAGTTTACCGCACTGCAATCCTCAACATGCATTGTGGTGTGCTGTAGCACAGGTGAGTTGTGTATGTGAATTTTGGTGAGTTGCGTATGTGCATTTTGGTGAGCAGTGTATGTGCATTTTGGTGCGTGAGTTGCGTATGTGCATTTTGGTGAGCAGTGTATGTGCATTTTGGTGAGTTGCGTATGTGCAATTTGGTGAGTTGCGTATGTGCATTTTGGTGAGTTGCGTATGTGCAATTTGGTGAGTTGCGTATGTGCATTTTGGTGAGTTGCGTATGTGCATTTTGGTGAGTTGCGTATGTGCATTTTGGTGAGCTGCGTATGTGCATTTTGGTGAGTTGCGTATGTGCAATTTGGTGAGTTGCGTATGTGCATTTTGGTGAGTTGCGTATGTGCATTTTGGTGCTATTCAGATAGAACCTGGCATGGCAGTATTAAGTCGTTGACATGGAACAAATATGCAGAACAGAGTATGATGCGCATACTAGTTCCGAGTCAATTAGGCTGGAAGTACTGAAGCCATGGGAAGAGCACGAAACTGGAGTTACACTTTGAAAAGTTGAAATGTTGTTTCTCTGCAGTTTGGTGTGCGTTCTGTACATAAATGATAAAGAGAGTCCATGGCCGCCCTGCTCATTCCAAATGGAAGTGAGGGGGGAAGGAGAGGTTCAAGAGCTTACAAAGTTCATTACAGAATAACACTGCAAGAAACAGTTTCCAGAAAATATGTGTGAATGTGGATACTATGAATTATTCTTGGAGAATAAGAATATCCTTTAGTCTCATATACATGAGCAATCAGCACATACTGGAAATTCCAGCATTAAGGCTCTGCGTATTCCTGTAGATGGAATGACAGGTGTATGTGAGGAGCTGCTGCCACTCATCCACAACAAGCCTGATGACAGCTGCAGTTATCTGTGTTCACACAGCCAGTGACTACCTGCAGTGATCTGGGCTGGGACGCAGTGGGGTAGATTTAGGGCCGGATTTAGTCCAGATGCGTTCCGGATGGGTTTCTGCATGTGCGTTTTTGGCAAATTCAGGTACGTTTTTGATGGGTTATTGATGCGTTCCAGTGCTGTTTTTTATGCATTCCAGTTCATTTTTCCCCTCTTTTTCTTAAATTTAAATAGGGACACGTGCATTCCAGTGCATTTTTTGAGCTTTTTGGTGCGTTTTACTGCATTCCAGTACAGTTCTATGCAGAAAAAATGCAGCATTTTCTAATTTTTTTTCTGCAACTGGAACACACTGGAACTGTAAGCACTTATGTGAACTATGACACTGACAACCATATAACCTACCTTCTGTGCATTTTGGATGCGGAAAAAAAGCAACTGAAATGCATGTAGTGTGAGTTGGCCCTTACTGAAACTAGTGCAGTTATGCATGGCAGCCAATCAGCTTCTTACTTCAGCTTGTTCAATGAAGCTTTACAATAAAATCTGGAAGCTGATTTCCATGCAGTTATTTCACTCTCCAGTGTTAGTAAATAATCCCCCAAATGGCTGATCTTTCACAGCAATCAATCCTGGATCTGCGCTGATGGAGGTGTGAAAGGGGCCAGAATCACTCATCAGTCCTACTGTATGGTACACATATGGTGCACGTAGTAAGTGGCTATTTCTCATGCAGCAGGTGCCAGGCCAGTCATCTGTGGAACATGGTATTTAAACACACTAGCAGGGTTAAAAATGCTTCTTCCTATGAAACCGTTAGATTTTCTGTTTAATTTCACTAATGATGTCAAAGCATACAGCTCTGGATTGTTATGCCTTGTTCATTAGAATTAAGCAAGATTAATTTTTTGAGACAGCAGACAGAGTGATCGTCACTGGGTTTAGAATCACCACACTGCCACCAGATCATGTTTTCTGCCTATCACTCGTTCACAATATTAGCGATAACACCCATGACCTAAAACATCAGTAACACACTGTCACCACAGGCAGGCATGTCCAGAGATTTACACTAAAATTGCGTGTGGCTTAAGGCACCCAGTGTGGACACATTGGAACTGCGCTCAATTGCCTAAACCAAGGCAGGGAGCTGTGGTCATGTGATATCAACATTAAAGCCAAACTCTACCCAAAAGGGGAAGTTCCACTTTAATGCTTTGTCCCCCACTCCCCATTAAGGATTGGCACCTTTCGGGAGCGGGTACCCGAATTTGACAGGTACCCACTCCCAATTTCGCTGCGATAGCCTAGGCGATCGGAAGCAGAAGTTGCCCTCCCTACCTGTAGTCTTTTGGGACACGTGACAGGTCCCAGAAGACTACGGGGCCATTCACAAAGCGCAGCGCTTCTTGCGCATGCACAGTGGGCATGCACAGAAGCCGCAAGCTGTCACAGCCGGGTGCCCACACTAAAGATGTCGGCACCAGGGAGAGAAGATGGCCGGTGAAACCAGCAGTGGTGAGGACACAGCTGGACCAAGGGACAGGTAAGTGGTTGTATTTTAAAAGTCAGCAGCTACAGTTTTTGCAGCTGCTGACTTTTTTTTTTTTTTAGCTGGAACTCAGTTTTAAAGGTAGGTCTCCCAAACTTAGAAGTTAACTCTATGTAACCTGTGGCTGCACATGTTACACTGTTAACACTAAGCGCTTTAGACTGAGCGACTTGTTAGAGAACACCACTCCCCAGGTGTGCAACATTTAGGAATCGGTACCGCAGGGCCTGTACCAGTCTCCACCAATACAGCAATTCCTGTCACCTCATTATCAGGGGCATGTCTGAATGCTGTCACTAGATGCAGGGAATGCTCTTTAATATAACTACATGTTTGTACTTTCTCTCTCCAGGCTAGGTCCATAGGCACTGCTGCAAGGTCGGTTCCAGTGTGGGGCACCGGTTGCCAGTGAAGGGGTCAAGCATACTACCCCTTCACTACCAGAGTAACCATCACCCTTGCCAAGTCACCCATTCCCTGGCTGTTTGGTTTCCTTTACCAAAGAAAGATACATGAAAGGTTGTCCCTAGTAATGACAATATAGCCTGCAATAGACCACATCCCACATGCTGGATTAAATGTACTGTATCTACTCTAACCTACCGCCCCCTAGATGTAAGCCCTGTTCCTTGGGTACGCTGTGCATGCAGCCCTTTAGAGAAACTTCATACCAGCATTAGACAGAACAACAAATGTCTTTACAGAAGTTAGTGCACCAGTATACACCAAGCAACTTCACATACACTCCTGCACAGAGTTCCCTAAGTGCCCCATAAAGTGACTGTACCTTAGGTAGATCGCTTGTTCATTTAAGCAATCCATTCAAGGCAATAAATCCACAGGGGTACCAGGCAGTCATTTAAAGTCCATGATCTGGACGATATCCACAAAGGCAATAAGTCCGGCTCAGCAGGTCAACTCAAGGACACAGTACACACATCTACATTGTAGCAGTATAGTTGGGAAACCCGCACAGTAGACCCAGATAGCTGCAGAACATAAGTCAGCACAGAAGAAAAACTTTAGCCCCTTGGAAGCATCTGCTTACACTCACTCTTCAAGTGTCAGGAATGGACTTGCCAGTAATGGTGGGACCCACCTGCCTTGTGGGCTGCAGTACCAGGGCTGGCCAGCGGGTGCTCCTGGCAATCAGAGACTCAACCCTGCAGCCAGCCAAACACCTGAAGTTGATCATGCAGGTGTATTTAAGGGATGGCCAGACCTGCAGTCTCTGCCTTGGTGTGTGTTTTTCCTGGGCCCTGTATCTTGTTCCTGTGTTCCTGTGTTCCTGTTCCTGTCTGACTGATTCGTTGCTGACCCTGCCTGATCCAGACCTCTGCTGACTTCTCCTGTTTCATCCCTGGCTTGTGACCCCGACCATTCTCTGCCTGACCCCCTGTACCTTCCTGCCCGATTGTTATTGACCCGGCCTGCCTGACGACGCTTGCATTGTATGTACTGTTATCTGTGGGTGGTTGGTTTGGTTTGTTTGCACTATGTTATGTTTTAGTATTGCACTGCGTTTATGTTTGTATTGTTAGTCTTTAATAAATTATATTGTTTATAACTTATCTGAAGCCTGCGTTTCCCTGCGTCAGTCACATACCTCTGGTCACACACCCCGGAGCCCTGACATTACACCAAGGCCAATCCTGACCAGAAGTGGCTGCACAGGGAAGCCATCTTGGTTTGTTGATGGGAAGGATGGATCTTGATGAGGTTGTGTATTTATCTCTGCTAGTGTTTGATGACAGAGAATATGCTTATCAGACTCTGAAGGAGTATCCCCGGGATGAACTGCTAGAATGTATACGGATCGCTCATGTTCTAGTAGATCAGGGCACAGAATTCTCTGAGGTGCAGCCATTGATTCAGGTTTGTGCTGAGTTGGTTTCATCTGGTACCCCCGAATGCAGGGATGAATTTTTGCCGCCATTTAGTGCCGACCAGGTAGAGTCCCTGGTATGGGTTGACTCGGAACCCACTGTCGTGCCTGGTGACTCGGTGCCCACTGCCTTGCCAGATGACGCGGTGCCCGCTGGCGAGCCAAATGACCTGATGCCTGGTGACCCGATGCCCGTTGTTGTGCCTGATGACCCGGGGCCCGCCGCTCCGTCTGGGGGCCTGGCGCCCGTCGCTCCTCCTGGGGGCCTGGTGCCTGCCGCCCCTCCTGGGGGCCCGACGCCCCGCCGCTCCACCTGGGGGCCCGGCGCGCCGCCGCCCCGCCTGGGGGCCCGGCGCCCACCGCCCGCCTGGGGGCCCAATGCCTGTCGCCCCTCCTGGGGGCCCGGCGCCCGCCCGCCCCTCCTGGGGGCCCGGCGCCTGCCACCCCTCCTGGGGGCCCGATGCCATCGCCCCTCCTGAGGGCCTGATGCCTGTCGCCCCTCCTGGGGGCCCGATGCCTGTCGCTCCTCCTGGGGGCCCGATGCCTGTCGCCCCTCCTGGTGGCCCGGTGCCTGCTGCTCCGCTTGGTGGCCCGGTGCCTGCTGCTCCGCCTGGTGATCCGGTGTCCAGCTTGATGTGCCTCTGCCCGGAGTCCAGCCCGATGTGCCTCTGCCCGGAGTCCAGCCCGATGTGCCTCTGCCCGGAGTCCAGCCCGATGTGCCTCTGCCCAGAGTCCAGCCCGGTGTGCCTCTGCCCGGAGTCCAGCCCGGTGTGCCGCTGCCCGGAGTCCAGCCCGGTGTGCCGCTGCCCGGAGTCCAGCCCGGTGTGCCGCTGCCCGGAGTCCAGCCCGGTGTGCCGCTGCCCGGAGTCCAGCCCGGTGTGCCGCTGCCCGGAGTCCTGCCCGGTGTGCCAGTCTTTGATATCCCAGTTACCCCCAGGCGGTGGAACATTTTGCCTAGCTAGGACTGTTTGGAGCGTCCTGAGGCCGCTCCTTGAGGGGGGGGGGTACTGTCAGGAATGGACTTGCCAGTAATGGTGGGACCCACCTGCCTTGTGGGCTGCAGTACCAGGGCTGGCCAGCGGGTGCTCCTGGCAATCAGAGACTCAACCCTGCAGCCAGCCAAACACCTGAAGTTGATCATGCAGGTGTATTTAAGGGATGGCCAGACCTGCAGTCTCTGCCTTGGTGTGTGTTTTTCCTGGGCCCTGTATCTTGTTCCTGCGTTCCTGCGTTCCTGCGTTCCTGTTCCTGTCTGACTGATTCGTTGCTGATCCTGCCTGATCTGGACCTCTGCTGACTTCTCCTGTTTCATCCCTGGCTTGTGACCCCGACCATTCTCTGCCTGACCCCCTGTACCTACCTGCCCGGTTGTTATTGACCCGGCCTGCCTGACGACGCTTGCATAGTATGTACTGTTATCTGTGGGTGGTTTGGTTTGGTTTGTTTGCACTATGTTATGTTTTAGTATTGCACTGCGTTTATGTTTGTATTGTTAGTCTTTAATAAATTATATTGTTTATAACTTATCTGAAGCCTGCGTTTCCCTGCGTCAGTCACATACCTCTGGTCACACCCCGGAGCCCTGACATCAAGAGACAGGGGTTTATTTAAGTTCTCTGTTAGTGCACTAGAGACAATTTTACCACTTTCAAAAGAGTATTTAATAACCAAAAGAAAAAATCAAAAGATATCTGCTTGCTTTCCAAATTACTTAGACGTAAGCCGGCCATAGATGGTTAGAACCTTGGCCATTTCAGAAGGAACTGGTCGAAATTCGAACCATGCATGGGAAGGCTGAATGTACCCAAGTTGATTGACAATCAGCCTGCTGGATTTGACATGCGATTATCCCTAGCAGCTGTTATAGCCGCTAACAATAATCACCGTCTTCTCCCAACGGGGACAGCTTCCCCTGACCCCCTTCCTCAGGAAAACACAATGGCTCAGCAGAAGGGATTCCCCTGTCAACAATGAGTCAATAGAGGAATTGAGTGAATTTCTTTCCTGCAACACATGGTTGCAGGAAGAAAATTTGCACCATCCATGGCCTGCCTTAGACTGAATGTTTATGAAGCATATTAGATTTAGACTGAAATGTGGCTTGGGTTAATAGGGTTGCAATGGTCTGGTGTCCGCTCAATGGACTGATAAAAATGTTCTGGAATGTAGCTAAAAGTCTGTTACTTGTGTAACATGAAGTCCTAATGTAGCCATGTTCTGAAAGGGGGGTCACTGCTGCTCTGTCTCTTATTTAAAAATATCAAGGGAGACGCAGCCTTTTTGGGGTGCCCAGTCCTCATTATCGTCACATCTCTATTTTCTAATTAGCCATTTATGTTTGTGAGAAGAGTATGCACTTTGGAACTTTGTCCTGATATCAGAGATCTCCGTTTACTAGTGGAACTTCCACCATAGCAGCCCACAAGCCTACTTACTGTCCCCCCCAACTATACACACACACACATACACACTCACTCAAACAAACACATTAACGTCAGGCTTTTTCTCCCCACAACTGGCACTGGGGTATTTTTCCATCCAATGACCAGCATTATAAAGGACCCTATGCAACATACTCCTTACTGCTGCACTCTGTACATTATGTTGTACATTGCATTGTCCCACTCTACGAGCTATTTGTTATGTTACATAGACCTGACCCGACCACCTTGCACTCTAAATGCTGTGTTGTGTACTACACAGTCCTGACCTCGCTCTCTCAATCAACATGGACTATTTTTAATCCTTATGCTGCTAGCATTAGTAAATCGATAGTAAAGTATACCATATGTACTTGTTTTAAACTTTTTTTTTTTTTTACATTTCTTCAGTTACTTCCTGGTTTCCATGCCTGGTCAAATGATGTCATACATGCCAGCATTCTTCAGGAGGGGAGGGAGGGTTTTCAGCTCAGCCTCCTATGCCTGAGCTAAGGGCAGATGGATTTCAGGTAGTAAATGATACATGAATCACCTGCCCTTACTTAAGATGGCCACTGCCAAAAATGCCAGGGGGTGTTTTTCAAAATGATTTATCAACAAAATAAAGCATGGATGGATGGTTGAGTTTGCTTTGAATATTAAAGATAAATTAAATAGCATTTTTGGTTTGTGATGCCCAGATGCAGTGCTGTTCTACTTTAAACTCTTCACGCCGGCCAAACGCAAATGTGCGGCCTTCCGGCGTCTGGGCCTAGACGCCGAGCTGCCACACATTTGCGTTCTATTAAAAAAGAACATATGTGCTGAGAGCGCGTGCCCTTCGCGCTCCCAGCACACATGTCCAGTACTCACAGAAAGGTCCCGATCTCCTCTTTCGATCTGGACCTTTCCCGATCATGTGACCGCCGTGACGGCGTGTCACGGCAGTCACATGACCCTAAACCCCGCCCCGCCTCCCGGCTTCTGAAACCCTTAAAGGGCCGGAAGGCACTGGCGCAAAGGGGTTAAGACACTTGCCGCTCATAGGCCATTTAAAAGTCACCTACACATCAAGTGGTTCTAACAAGCTCACTGCCGCAGCTTTTTGTTACTGCTGTTTTTTTTCGGGCAGTGACCACCAGATTTTTAGTAACAGTAATCCAGGAAGCTCTAGACCACTTTTACTGCATTTGGAAGTGTAGTCCCCCACCGCTGCCTACCGTTGCTTTTTCCTGCTATTCCTGTTCCTCTGGGGAGCCCAGGAGCACTGTAAACAATCTCAGGATGCTGAGCAGGAGATGGGCTCAAAGTGTTAGCTCTCTCTCTCTCTCTCTATATATAATATATATAGTATTTTTTTATCCTTTAGTTTTGTGTGGGACTAACACAGTCATCATGAGCGAACTGTTGGCGCTTTATAAATACTGTATAATATTAACAATAATGGAGTATTTTGTGGGTGCAAGGACTGCAGACTACATTCATACAATAGGTGGGCTCAGACTCTATTTAACCACGCTCCTTCAAGTCATGCCCGATATTCAGCACAACTTAGACCTTCACATTTTCTGTGCCACATGAGTTCTCTCTCCCAGAGTGTCTCTCTTTCTCAACTTCCAAAGTTGGACTTTATGATTACTGGCCAGATCACCTCGTAAAAGTAAAGGTAGAGAGCCTAAAAAAAAAAAAACCTAACGCAGCCACCACATCTATGGACTGGTAATCTGCAATATATTACATTTGTGTTTTGTGGCTTACATACACATTAGGGGTTCATGATGATAGTAGATTTGACAACAGCACCCATCTACGTGAGCTCCTAAACATCATCACATCAAGTGACAGCAATCTCTAATCTAACTTAATCACAGCTGCTGTATGCAAAATGGTTGGGAATTAGACACAGAGGAAGCCTTTGTTGTTACCATAGGGAAGGCCTAATTCCAAATTGAATGAAGCAAGGACCGCACCTAGCATTCCTAACCTGATTATTCGCAGCATATCTTTTCTCTTAGGCTGGTCATACATTATACAATTTTCCTTTAGATTTACCAAAAATATATAATATGAGGTCAAACCTAAACACTTTCAATGTCTATGCAATCATGCAGGCCTTTGCAGTACATACAAAAAAAATGGCAACCATCCCAAACTATAACCAGCCTTAGCAGCAAGGTGCACATGGAAAGGCAATGCACACTAAAAATAAACAAAGGATTTCCCAGCACACTTACCAGCCAGTCTGCAAAACAACCAAGTTGGCCGAGTCTAACAGTTGCAAATAAAACCCTCTGTTTTGAACGCTGTTAGACAGGGCCAACTTGGTTGTTAAGGCTGGTTATATAGGTTGGGACGGTTGCCATGTTTTTGTACAGCTGGCTGAATTGGGTGCAGGGACACACTGGATGCCTTTTGCTGGCATTTTGCTATAGCTGGGCATGACGTGCACCCCTTTGCCTTTAAGGAGGGGTGGGCTCCTTCCAGTCACACCTGCCTTTAACCTATCCATTGATATAAGTGTTCCCACTGTGGAAACTCTGGAAATTTTATAGTTAGGACAGCAGTATACAGAGGCCCCTTGACGAGGGACTGCGGCTTACGCATGTATTTGCAAATGTGTGCAAACAAAAGTCTCTGTTTTTAACGCAGACTGTTAGACAGGGCCAACTTGGTTGTTTTGCAGACTGGTCGGTAAGTGTGCTGGGAAATCCTTTGTTTGTGGTGTGCATTGCCTTTCCATGTGCACCTTGCTGCTAAGGCTAGTTATAGGTTGGGATGGTTGCCATTTTTTTGTATGTAGTGCAAAGGCCTGCATGATTGCATAGAAATTGAAAGTATTTAGGTTTGACCTCATATTATATGTTTTTGGTAAATCTAAAGGAAAATTGTACAAGAAGATTGTTTAATGTATGACCAGCCTAAGAGAAAAGATATGTTGCAAATAATCAGGTTAGGAATGCTAGGTGCAGTCCTTGCGTCTTTCAATTTGGAAATAGGCCCTCCTTATGGTAACAACAAAGACTTCCTCTGTGCCTACTTCCCAACCATATTGCATACAGTAGTGCCTTGCACTACATAGCTGAAGGTAAATCTACACGAAATTGAATAAGAACATTGTTTAATGTACGGCCAGCTACAGGTGGACTTTGAACAAAGATGGGAGTTTTCAGTTACCTCCAGACATATAGTGGTAGGTTCTACCGTTTTTTGTAGGGCGTTGGTGTAAGCAGGTCTTTTTGCCTTACCCATGCATGAGGACTGAATTGACCAACACAATCCAACGCATGTGGTGTGAATAAGTGTTAACAAGAAGTGTTATATATTTTTTTCCTGTAAAGAAAATGCTTGGTTATCAAGATAACTAAGTTTAATAGAAAGCCTAATAAAATGTATGGCATGTTTGTACACTAGAAGTGTCTGGACTACATCTGTTTCCTGTAAGGAAATCCTATTCCTAAGAAAGCAAACCATTCCACATACCAACTTGCAGGACATTTATTTCAGTGCTTATGTCTTTCACACAAACATATAAGTAATGTAATAATATACAAAAACTGAAAATATAAGGCAAACACATTAATGAAATATAGCATTATATTGTTTTTGAAATATAGAATTATATAATTTTTATACAGAAGTAATCAAGAATACACTATAAAGATTAATGAAGTAAGTCTTCACGTGAGGCAGAATTTCTTATGTGCATGAACTCTACATTGCAGCAAAATTCAGAACCATGTAGCCATTATGTTTGTGTAGGATCCTGAAATGTTCATTCTGTGTGTAAAAATATAATTCAGTGAGCAATGTTTGAATATTCTCAATATGCACAGATGCTTTAACCACTTGCCTACCAGGCACTTATACCCCCTTCCTGCCCAGGCCAATTTTCAGCTTTCAGCGCTGTCGCACTTTGACAATTGTGCGGTCATGCAACACTGTACCCATATGAAATTTTTATAATTTTTTTGAGACAGATAGAGCTTTCTTTTGGTGGTATTTACTCAACTCTGGGGTTTTTATTTTTTTTGCTAAACAAACTAAAAACAACTGAAAAGTTTTTAAAAAAAATGTTTTTTCTTAGTTTTTGTTTTAAAATTTTGTAAATAAGTGATTTTTCTCCTTCACTGATGTGCGCTAATGAGGCTGCAGTGATGGGCACTGATAGGCTGCACTGACAGGTGGCACTGATGGGCACTGATGAGGAGGCACTGGTAGGTGGCACTGATGGGCATTGACATGCATCACTGATGGGCACTGAAAGGCAACACTCATATATGACACTGATAGGCGGCACTGACTGGCACTAATAGGCGGCACTGACTGCACTGATAGGCGGCATTGACTGGCACTGATAGGCGGCACTGATGTGCACTGATATACGACAATGACTGGCACTGATAGGCAGCACTGACTGGCACTGATATGTGGCATTGATAGGTGGCACTGACTGGCACTGATAGGTGACACTGAAAGGCAGCTCAGATGGGCACCGATATGTGGCATTGATGTGCACTGGTAGGCACTGATATGTGACATTGATGTGGCACTGATGGGCACTGACAGCTGGCATTGATGGACACTGACAGGTGGCAGTGCTGGGGCTACACTGATCATCAGAGCACACTGATCATCAGTGCCCTGATGATCAGTGTACATGTCCCCTCTGAGGAATGCCGATTACCGGCTCTCCTCTTCTCTCGAGCTGTCAGCGTGACAGCTTGTGAGGAGAGAAATGCTGATAACTGGCATTTCCCTATTTACAGTACATGCAATCAGCAGTGATTGGACACAGCTGATCACATGACAGAGCCGACATCTTCGGCTCTTTCCATTGATCGGTGATCCGCTGTGTCCCAGAGACACAGCGCACCACCGATCGCCGCGCTGCGCACTCCTGGATCTGCGCACGCGCGGTTAGAATGGGAGGACATCATATGATGTCCTCCCAGAACGAGAGAACCGCCTTGCTCCCGTCATTAACTTATATGGCGGGCGGAAGGCATTTAAGAGCTGTGCAAGGACCGGTATCGTAAAAGTGAGTTTTTTTACAGTTTTGGAGCTATTGTTGCAAGGTTCATATTTTTCTATGCAACTTGCATACTTTGTATTTTTACATGCTTGCTGTTCATATTTTGTCATTTTATTTCATGTACAAATTTGTAGATTAGGTACTAGAGGCAGGGCAGATTAGCAACTTCACTTAATCTATTATTTCTGGATAGCATATCAGCCACAGTGGGAGTGCATTGTTTTAACCTCCCTGGCGGTATGATTATTTCAGATTTTTGGTGCTGAAAGCGGGTACCATTTTTTTGCATGGAAATATGTATTTTTTTTATTGTAGGCTGTAATTTTTAGGAAAAACTCACTGAAATCTGTCCGAAAAAGAGTCTAGTAAACATCCCGGGTATGATAAAATTTGAAACACAAAATCATAAATTATAATTTAATAAATAATCATAAAAATAATATAAAAATAATAAAAAATTTAATTCAATAATATAATCAAACCAAAAACACTGAAATGTGAAATAGAGCGCCAAGTTCGCACATTGCTGAGCTCAGTCGCAAAATCGTTTTCAGTTTCTGATGACGAATTTCCCCACGAATCATTATCACTCAATTCTGTAAGTGGTTCTGATTTACTATCGCTGTTCTCTAGCTGATCTAAACCGCTTTTGACCTAAAGGGACACTTTTTGGACGCCATGGACATTTCTCAGTTTCCAGGCAGAAAGAACAGACAAAATGCAGGCAGGGCGCCGGACAAAGCACTAGGGACAATATGTATGTGAAATAGGTTGAAACAGCAATGTTTTACTATGTAAAATGAAAAAAAAAAAAAAAATGACATTTTTTAAAATTTTTAAATTTCCCGCCGCCGCCGGCGGCGGCGCCCGTACGTCCCGACGTCACAGGGACAGGACACAGAAGCCGGATACCGGCATCGGCCGGGGGAGATGGCCGGGGACGCTGCAGGGGACACATTGTGGGAGCGCAGGGTAAGGTAAGTGAAGAACACATGCCGGAGCAGTGCCGCATGGTATTCCCGAGTGTAGCTCGGGGTTACCGCTTTTGGTACTGAAATGTTACCCCGAGCTACACTCGGGAATACCGCTAAGGAGGTTAAACAAGTCAGCTGATTCAAAGACTTGCATTGTAAGGGCTCATGTACACTGCAGCTCCTAAACTGACGTTCAGGAGTTGTTCAGCGTTTTTTTTCATTAGCCCCTGAACTCTCCCTAATGTTAACCGCATTTATAAGCATTTGCATTTAGAAACGTTTTTAACGGTTACATGTCCAGATGCTGTCCAGAGCCTTTTTTCATCATTAAAAATGCTTGCAAGCGTTTCCGTGTATTCAAATGGACCCGGTACACCAGCGCAGTCAGTTCCAGGTTTCGTGTGAAAAATGGTAGAACGTGCTGTATTATGCTCATGATGGGATCCATAGTGAATACAACCAGAACAGACAGGTAATCTCAACACATACTGCTCTCTCTGCTTCTGCTCTCTCTATTCCTCTCAAAATGTCTGAAATAGTTAATTTTTTACTATTTTTCAGTGCATTCTGGGCATTTGGGAAGGTCTCCTGAGGTTATCTTTTTAAAAATGCTTCAAACTCACATAAACGCGCATAAATGCATTATGCAAACGCAGCTAAACTGACGTTTTTTGACCTACGTTTTCCAGCAGTCAGTTTCCATCATTCAGAAGAGTTTTCCAAACGCCCCGTGTACATGAGCCCTAAGAAAAAGCTGTAAAGCACAGCCATTGTATAGCCCTGCAGTACAAAAATCATAGCCTATGGATATAAAGAGCAAATATGGCTACTCCCATATTCATATATAAATGCAAACCATAAACAGGTGTATAAAACATTAACACATGATAAGAAAAGAAAAAATTGGAAAGATTATATGTGCCCTTTAAAATCAGAAAGCCGTATTTATTGCTTGTGAAATACTGTGATTTTGTTTAGGTGTATGTGAGCTGAAAGTCACACCCTTCTAATCATTTGAAATAGAAAGGAACAGTTAGGATCAATGTATATGCCTAAGCATGTCTTGCAGCGATACATTGAAGCACTGCAGTCCCACGTGGTATAATATATGTTAACCTAATAAAACTGTCACAAAATAAAAACATTATTTGTATACTACATTATGGGCACGATCAATGGGTAGCGGACCCCCATTTTAAATCTTACCTACTCTGCGCAGTTGTACCCCACAGCAACCAATCACATTCTTGCTTAATGTTATCCCAAAAGTAAATGGTGAAATCTGATTAGTTAGCTGCAATGTAGTGTAGTATTCTGGTTGTAGGGTATAGGATTAGAAGTGCCTCTCTCATGTGGTGCAAACAGCACAGCAGATCATAGCTACCAAACTTGGATGCAATAAATACCAAAAAATCGGACAAAAACTATTAGTAGTGATCAGGGGCGGACTGACCATTTGAGAACTCGGGCACTGCCTGAGGGCCCGGGGTCAGTAGGGGGCCCCATGAAATGACCCTGGTATCTTTTTTATAGGCTTTTTTTGAGTGTGGGCAAGGACACGGGCCCCATGATCCCCTATTGCCCGGGAGCCCCATGAGTTGCCAGTCTGCCCCTGATAGTGATCCAAAACATTCAGTTTACAGTGTATTTGCCCCATTGCCATCAGGAAAAGTTATAGGACACTTTAAAGGTATACTAATCACTTGAAGTACAGTTTTTTCCTTAGGGATGCATTCCAAGGCAATAGTAACTTGTTTCAAGGGACATGCTGTCTTCATTAGAGCTCTGATGAAGAGGCCATGTCCCTCAAAACATGTTAGCTATTGCATCTGCTGTAAAGTGTCACTTATTCTGTCCTTTTGCCAATTTGTGTGGTCTATTGCAAGGCAGATTTCATGGTTTATTCATGCCTGTGTGGCCAAGTTGTCTTGCGAGTATATTTCTCATGAATTTTCTACAACAAATAGTATCTGAGGTAATGAATAAGGCTGGTGCAACCTTTTTTTTTTTTCTCACTTATTTTGAAAGATTCCCCAGATCTGAAGAGGGCAGCAAGACCTAGAGGCTTCCCTCATTACATGTTGAAATATGAAGGCTACTAGATGGATGGTCATGTCTGTTATGTGCAATTGTTGCTGACACTTCTAGCACTGAAGGGTTTTTTCTTCTCTTTTCAATGTGTCAGGATGTATGCATGTGTGGTTTTGTTTAAACATTTTTCTCTCTAATGTTGTAAAGAGTTCTAATAGAAATCTTGTATGTATAGAATGAAAATAAAGTATCATCTTATGCTTGTTCCATGCTTTGTGATTCAGAAGTGCTAAGGTAAGGTTCTGCCAGGCAAATAGCATTTTTAGGAATTGCCAGGTGTGTTTAAAAAAATGTATTGCTTCTGAAGATACTGCACGTGTGAACAAATAAATGATGGTATGGCTGTAAAATGAACACATTTCCTAATGAGCTCCACTGATTAACCTCTTCATGACTAGAGGTCATTGATATGTAGAAGCTCAGACCAAACTTAGTCATATCAGTATGTCACAGAATGTGTGCTCACTGTTCTATCAACAGGAGGTTGTCTATGTATTCCATTATGGTAATAATGGTGTGAACCTCCTGCACTCCAAATATCCAAACTATCTCTATCCCAGAGGAGCAGCTAACATTAAATCATATACTAATAATCTCTATATAAATGTGAATAAACAATGTAGCGCTATTCATAAGCTAAAAATACAAAAGTATAAACATCCACAAATAATAAAGTACCACACTATATAAATCAGTGTAAACATCAACAAATAATACTGACTGCACCCAAAAGCATGAGGTTTGAGCTGTGACTACTGCAGATATATGTGAGTGCGCATTTTGTTCATTTTCTGTCATTTGGAAATAAACATATTACACTATGGAAGGATGTGTTTTATGTTTTAAATGAGATATTGGCGCTGTATGTGACCTTATCTGGAGAGGAGCCATTATTTGAGTGCTGACCTGGTTGAGGGAGATTTGTGTGCGGTAGGAGCAGATCAGTGGAGTGGCTACAGACCTGAAGGATCTATAAGAGGGATCCCATATGCGCTTTGACCCGCAAGGGTCGAAGTTTTAAGGTGAGAGGCTTATCTAGCCGGTGGTCGGATTGTCTCCTGTCAGCAGCTATATCCACTGTCACACAATATCAGCACGAGTGTTATCGTTTATACATTAAAGTGTTCGGTGTGTGACGGTGGAGTTTGATCTTTTTTTCATGTGGTTGCACTGTGTTTTGTACACTTGTATGCACATTGTTTACACATATGTATGTTTTATCAATTGGGGGTTTTTCATATATGTGAGTGTGTATATACACTATTGTTTGTTGCATTTATATTTTTAAAAGGTACTTATTTAGAAGGTACCTATTGGTTTGGTATTCCATTTTTCAATAGATTGCATATTTATGCTTTATATTTATAGGGGGGGAGACACATATTTGTAGTCAATATCACTGTTTGTATTTTATATCACAAGTATTGTGGTAATATATTCAGTAATATATGCATGTTTCACTGATTTATACCATGATGGTAATGCCCTGAGAGTACAGGAAGGCTAGCATAGAAAACAGACCAAATGGAGGGCCACAAACATTATAGTGTTGTGTGCCTACAATGCTGGAAAGATTAGGACAAGCAAATATGCATCCTTGCTGTCCACTGAGTCTACAAAGTCTCCCTGATGAAGGCTGTCACAGACCTGGTGGATTCCATGCAAACTTTGGAACACAAATGAAGTGCCTTCAGATTAAGGAAGCCTTTGGCTTTGTGAAAAGGTTTCAGTAGAAACCTTAAGTCCTTTCTGCTTCTGGGACAGTTCTTTGACTT